TTGGAGTGATTATGTTAGGCGTCTGTCCCTTGAAGTCACATTTGAGTCCATTGTGAATGAATCTCATGATCTCTCGCGTCACTCCTCCGTGGCTTACGATTAATACTCGCGACTCGTTTGACACCAATTTCAACAAATGGTTGTTCAAGAAGTCGACCACTCTGTCGGTCACCTGTTGAGGAGTTTCGCCGCCTTCCGGAGTAAATTGAGACAATTTGTTGGCAGGGAAGCCATGTTTGGTCGCTTCGGCCTTAAGTACATCGAGAGACTGTCCCTCTATTACACCGAAACTTCGCTCTCGAAGTCGAACATCTGTTTGGATGCGATCATTACTCTTGACCACAATCTTCGCCGTATCCAAGGCTCGGCTCAAATCACTGGCGAAGATGATGTCAAATTGGGTGCAATCCAAGTGCTGAGCCAACTGTGCCGCCTGTTTGACCCCTATATCACTGAGTTTGGTGTCGCTCTGACCCTGAATTATCTTCACGCGATTGGCCACTGTTTGGCCGCTATTATCACCAAAACAAAGAGCATTATTAGCAACGGATCCGCTGAGACAATGGGTGGCACTTACTGTCGGACGAGAGTGAGGAAGAAGGCATTGGTGGCCGACATCGTCATGAAGGAGTGGATCAGATGTTTCGCAACACGTGATGTAATGTTGGGGACAATGATTGCATAGACTGTCAAAAGAAGGCAGTAATCCATGAATTCATTGAATCACTGCTTTCTTCACTGCAAATCCAAACCATTGTTCACTGAATCACAGAATTCTTTGACACTATTCTTAAGCAATAGTTAATTGAATGAAGTTTTTAATCAAACCTTTAAAGTGAGCTATTTTTATGGCCTAAGTTTTGCTAATAAAATGTTAAGCCATTTGAAAAACTTATTGTGAAAGTTGTACAGAATTTCTCAGTAATAATAATAATATGTGAGAAAAATAATGCATTTGAATGAATAGGTGAACAGAAAATTGAATAAAATTCAATGAAATTGAATAGTCATAGAAATGGGGATATATTGAGAAGTTTTTTACATTGAATTAATAGGAATTAAGATTGAATGCAATGAAATGTGGAGTAAATCTCTTATATATCGCTTTCAGTTGAATAGTTGGTTACGTCTAATGAATGCCTGAATCACTAGAATATCAGAATATTCTGTTGAATAGCGGCGACAACGCATGCGTGCGAACGGTGCCGAAGATGTGCTGCAAAACACGAATTCCATCGCATATTAGGCTTTCCATACAAATACAGACCATTCAGACCACTCCAACACTTATACCTATTTTGCTATACATTTCAATACCAGTGACAACTTGTATAAACGCCGCTCTTCTTATTAAAGTTAACATTATTTTCATTTGTTAATCATTACAAGAATTCAACTAATTTTTTGTATATTACTTTATTTGTTAAGCAATAATATGTATGAATCAATAGTTTGAATAAATAGAAAATTATTTTTCTCGTATCCTTAATAATAACATCCATTGAAATCGTAATCCTTTGAAAATCTTATAAGTATTCATATCCGGGAGTTTCATCACTCGATGAACTGTTGATTATTATTGCGCTAAAAAATTGATGAAAATATTTGTAAAAATGACTTTATTTGTAAATGTTATATAAATATGAATATTTATTCATCGATTCTTAATAAACTATTCATTTAATATGAATTTATTGGACGAACGATCCGCTCATACTGTATATCATTATAAGTTATATTTCTTTATAGAAATCTGTTGCACAACACGTTACCGGAAACTATAGATATGATAACCAACTCATCAATTCATTATTAAATGCTATAGAATTTTGTCGCAAATGTTGGTATTGTTTGGATTAGTATTACTTAGTTTCCCAAAAGGTAATTAAAATTCTTAATTCATTCATTCAATTGCTATATTTGTATTTGATGTAATTGTAGACATAATTTTGTTAACCGAAAATACATTGTACTTATTTAAGTTAACTTGGTACATATAGAAAACACATTGAATTAAATTCTGAACAGGTTTTCGATGAACTAAATCAAATAATTAATCAATAAATATATATCTAAAGTGCTCTGAAATTATGTGACAGTTTGGTCTCAAAAGATTTAACTGAATATGTGATGCGAGTATTGCGAGTATTTTAGAGCAGTTAAGTCCGTCCGGCACTTAATCCAATGCCTCATAAGATTGACTTTTCGTAAGTCACTCACAAATCATTCATTCAATTCAATCCTCAAAGTGTTTTTAAATCAAATCATGTTATTTAATTCTTACAAATAAATACTTTTGTTTATTATGACTTATATTTTATGACCAGTAAATAAAAAATTATTTTAAAATCGTTTAAATATTGACAGTTGTACTAGTCTATACTATATATAGCTTTTAATTATGCCCATATACATAATAAAATGAGAAATATTTTTTCTATGTTAAGAATTCATGGTATTTGTTAGAATTTGAGTAAAAACCACTCTGTATTACACTATACTTTGCAGACATTAAACAAACATTGAATAAAATTTGTTTACTCTAAAAATGTCTTTTAATAGGACTAAATATAGTATAGAAAGTAAAATTGAACTCAATGATATCAAAAGATTTTAATTAAAAAAGTATGAATTGAATATTCATTAGACATGAAACCGAGTTTAACGCGAAATTCTATAGAAATTCAGAAATGATTGCTTTCGTTATAATAACATGAAATACAGATTAAATTCAATTAATGAATTACGTGACAAATAAGTAAATATAATTAAAATTACATTATTGATCACTAAATTGGTCAGATTTACAAACTAATGCCATTTATAAGTGGCAAAAAGAAATTAATAAAATTTAAACAGATTGTGTAAATAACATCACCTTTTATTAGGTGAATACATGTCTCTATAAATAAACTGAATTTGAATTTGAATTTATTGCACTTGAAATTTTCAAAAATCTTAAATAATTATTTTCCCATTATATTGTATCATTTTGTTTTCACATAAATATAATTGGTAAGAATTTATTTCTGAGTTTACTATACACTACAGTGTGTTTTCACATATCATTTACCGATAATATTGTATTTTATGACCAAACGTATGTTTCACTTGAATTGATATTTTCAAATAAAAAAATTTATTTGGGATTTATTTTCACTCAAAAAACTAAATCTCAAAATCTTTATCTTATGGTTGTATTCAATATTTTTAATTCACTTTTTAGAAAAATAGTATCCATTTTAGTGAAAAGCGAACAAAACCTTTACTGTTAATACAGTTTAATAGCTTTTGATGATTCAATTTATGTGAACTCAATTGAATTAATTGATATAATATAATTGAATTAAGTGAAACAAAAAAATCAATTAAATTCTCTAAAGTTTAATCTTTTTTATTTTTATAAGATAATCAAAATTTTATGTTTTTTATATAAAAAATTTGTCAAAAAATAGATATTTTTTACAAACAAATTCCTGTAGAGAGAGAGAGAGAGAGAGGGAGGGAGAGAGAGAGCTACAAATACATATTATCAATATTTACTTTAGTAATTACTTTTTCAAAAAGTAGAATAATTATAAAGTTATATTCATATTTTATAAACTATAATAGTCATTGTAATTACAACACCTATATCTCTAACATTAAAGTAAATTTAATTTTAATTTGTTAGAGTTAAAAGTTCTAAATAAAATACTTTAATACAAATAGGAATACTCTGTAAATAAATTTAACTAGTAAATTAATACAGGGCTACATTCTATTTCTATAAATACAAATTTTTGTTAACAAGGATTTAAACAATTTTAATTAAAGTAAAAATTTGTTAAAGTTTTAGTACAATTAGTTATTTGTAAATATCAAATACAGTAATATCAAACACTATTTGAATTTGGTTGAAATACGCTATATATGTATCAGAAATTCAAAAAATCACAAAAATGTCGAAATATTTTCATATCTGTCAAATAAAATAAATAATGATTGAAAGTCAAATCACAAGTACTCTATAAGTGAGTGAATATTAAGTGATTGATTTTGAATTTAAATATTATTTCTTTCAATTGTTTAGTATTTGTAAGGATTTTGTTATTTTAAAAATATTTTGAATTATAAAGCAAAGTTTAAATAAGGATTCAAAAATGTTCAATATTTTGTCAATCATATGTTTCAAAGTATATTATATTTTGAATATAGTGTTTTATAAAAATATAAATTGTAAACATTCAATATTTATTCACAATAAAAACGATCCATATAAATTTAAATAAAAGATTTAACATTATATTTTAAAAACACAAAGAATTTCAATATTCAGCATTAAATAAAAACTTATAAAAGCATATACATACTAATTATTTACTTACGGTTTCTATTACTTGGATCTTGATAAACTAATAAGATCCACAAAAATTATGTGAGAATTGTTTTCATGTTTGTCTTAAATGCAGTTAATTATATTTTGTGTAGGCTTTCAAATAGATTTATAAACTCTAAAAGCTATGTTCTGTCAATAACACCACATTTACATAACATTAGGCAAAATAACCTGGACTTAAAATCAATGCAAACTGCTTTTAATGAAAAATTTGCATATTGTCATTCGATACGATTTCTAAAATTCTAGATTCATTTAAATATGAACTCAAAAAAGTTTACATTTCCTTATATTAATTGAGAGTTGAGATTAACTTTTCTGAATTTTAAACTAAATATATTTCATATTAAATTTGATTTACAAAATATGTTTTCATATATAATGACCTCATTTTTAATACGATTTTTAAAATTTCATTTTTCAACTCATGGATAAGTGAAGCGAATATTATTTGATTGCATAGGAATTGCATACCTTTTATATTGTGTTCACTTCAGTCAATACCAGAGTTTAGTATGAGTTTGACGTCTCTCTACTCTATAACTCTATACGAGTAATAAAAACGCATGTCTTTGGTCTTTGTATGTCTTATAAGTTAGTCTTATATATTGAGAAGAAATCAATGTTGGGTTAGGTTTACGCATAAGTGGAAAGTTGTACTTAAAAATAATATTTAAGCCCAAGCTTTTCACTTACAATCGGAACAAATTTGAAAAAATTTAGACCTTTTTTATTAAATAAGAATATAGTTCTCACAAAATTGTGCTTAAAGTGAATGTGAAAACACGATAGAGTCAAACGAAAAGCGAAAGGAATGGTATCTAATTCAGTTGAGAGTGAGTGAGTGAGTGGGAGAGAGAGAGGGAGGGAGAGAAATTGAGAGTTGAGATTAACTTTTCTGAATTTTAAACTAAATATATTTCATATAAAATTTGATTTACAAAATATGTTTTCATATATAATGACCTCATTTTTAATACGATTTTAAAAATTTCATTTTTCAACTTGGATAAGTGAAGCGAATATTATTTTGATTGCAGAGGAATTGCATACCTTTTATATTGTGTTCACTTCAGTCAATACCAGAGTTTAGTATGAGTTTGACGTCTCTCTACTCTATAACTCTATACGAGTAATAAAAACGCATGTCGCAGGTCTTTGTATGTCTTATGAGTTAGTCTTATATATTGAGAAGAAATCAATGTTGGGTTTGGTTTACGCATAAGTGGAAAGTTGTACTTAAAAATAATATTTAAGCCCAAGCTTTTCACTTACAATCGGAGCAAATTTGAAAAAATTTAGACCTTTT